TAAGTCCCATGATCCTTTCAGTAAATGATTACCAAAATTACTGTCAGGGGTCCTCAGTATAAGGATACTATAAAGGAGCCCAAAACCCTCTCTAATGCCAGTTGTGAGTGCGGTAGAGGTCCCGGACGCCCTCCGGGCAGAGCTACTGAGCCGACTCTCGGATCCTGATATTTCTGAGGGCCGCTCTCTTGATGCCGCGGACTGCGGGGAGGAATGCTGGAGGCTCTGGTTGGCATTCTCCCGTCTCGTGAAGGAGGCTAATAGCTCGCAAACAGCTGGCGACACAGCCGCTGTGTGGAGGGAGTTTGCCTCAAATGTCCAGCATACTCACCATGAATCCAGGGGCCTGGTGAGCGCCCCATGGAACGGTTATGACCTGGCAACGCATGGGGTGCCTGTTCTCCTTACAGAAAGGGGCACAGGTGGTGTTGCAGACGGGATGGCGATGGTGCGTGCTGGTGGACGCCCGCCCACCACAAACTTTGCTGATTCCAGTCATGATTGGACACTTTGCGCTCACTTGTCGGGGGGCCACTCGACTCTTGTCCTTGTTATCGCCACTGCGCGTGTTTGTTCAGACTGAACCCGGACTGTCGCTCTCGACTTCGCCCGCGCTGAGTCAGAGCGTCCAAGCAGTATGAGCTACTAAGGCCCCTGCATTAAGCTAATCTAGCCCTTTGCATTTTCGTTTCCCTAAACCCGCAGCTGGCGTTAAGCTACTCCAGCCCTTTGAAGGGAACCTGAAGGGATCGAGAGCAAGCCTGGTTTAGGGTTTAGGGTTGAGGGTTTGGGGTTTAGGGTTCAGGGTTCAGGGTTTGGGGTTTGGAGTTTAGGGTTTAGGGTTTGGGGTTTAGGGTTTAGGGTTTAGGGTGGGATCCAGAACAAGCCCGGGGTTTTCAGGATCCTGGCCACTTCGCGAGGAAGGGGGGGGGGGCAGTTTCAGGGAGCCAAGTTCAGAAGCCCAAAGCCTCTCAGCCAGAAAAACCAAATATAGGGGCCTTAGTAATTTCAACAGGGTTTTGGGGCCCGTAAGACTTTAGTTATAATAAGGAAACCCAAAAAATTATCCCTATAGTAAATCTGTAAGCTTCTATGAAACCTTATTAAAACCGTTGAAGCCCCTTGTAACCGCCTGCCAGAACTCTGTGAAGCCCTTTAACATTGTTTGCGTTCGAACCCCCGGAGCCCGGACAGGACTATCTCAATGATACTGCAAACTCGTCGGATGGGAACATGACTGCTGCCGCTAATCTGAGGGGTCTTGACCCTAAGCCCGAGACCCTCAATCCGGAATCCGAAACCATAAACCCCTAAACCCGAAACCCTAAATCCGAAATCCGAAACCCTAAACCCTAAACCCTAAACCCTAAACCCTAAACCCTAAATCCGAAACCCTAAACCCTAAACCCTAAACCGCAAACCCTAAAGCCTAGAGCCTAAAGCCAAAGCCTAAACTTGAGGATTCGGGGTTGGGGTCGGCTTTTCGGTTTGGCTTTGGCCTGTGTGGGGCTTTGGAGTTCAGGCTGCCTTGTTTCGAAATGTGGTCTTAGGGTTTAGGGCTTAGGGTTTAGGGTTTTAGGAATGTGGTCTGCTGATCTTAAGGTTTAGGGTTTAGGGCTTAGGGTTTAGGGTTTTAGGAATGTGGTCTGCTGATCTTAGGGTTTAGGGTTAAGGGTTTAGGGTTTTAGGAATGTGGTCTGCTGATCTTAGGGTTCAGCGTTTAGGGCTTGGGGCTTTGGGTTTAGGGTTTTAGGAATGTGGTCTGCTGATCTGAAGGGCTTGGGGTGCAGGGTGCAAGAGTTTAGACGTTCGAGTTTTGTTCTTGACTAGTGCCGTTGCTGCGATGGGGCTGTTTCTGACATTCTTGCGATTTGGAGTCATTTCCTTCGATGTAGTTGCGCAAGCCACGCTGGCATCAGCAACTCTTGTCCCAAAAGAACTCTCTTTTCGGCACGTCCTGCTGAGTCTGCGGAGAGCTCAGGAGGTGATGAGCACCACCACAATCACGACCACCTTGTCTACGTTGTCGTCAACAACAACTTTGACAGTATCCAGGACTACGAGCACACAGAGCTCAACATCTGCCACCTCGACCACGGAGACATTCACAACAGCAACTTCCACATCCCAGACCACAACCACCACAGAATCGAACACAACGACTTCCAGCACCACCACTACCACATACACGAACACGACGCAAACCATCACATCCTCCACGGCAACGACCCAAACAACCTCGCTGCTCGGCTGGAATTTGTCAAGCTTCGAGTTGTTTTGTTTTTGCGGTGAGCTTCGAGTTGCCGACAACTTCTAGAACCCCACGCATACTACCCCTAAACCCCAAACCCCTTAGGGCTGCTGCTGGTGATTGCATAGTCTACGATTCTTCAGGCCCAACCCCTAAACCCAAAGCCGGGGTTCAGGGTTTAGGCCCTAAGCCCTAGACCAAACCCCAGAAGTCATATATAGGGCCTTAATAATTAGAATAGGGTTTTGGGTATATGATACTCTATTCAATAATAACGAACCCCCAAAATAGTATAGGTAATTATTTAGGCCCCTACATTGCTCAACGAAAGAAGCGACGCTACGAGGCTGACTTCGACCACCACCAGCTTCACGAGCACCAACACCACCACCACGACCTCCACGACGACCACCCAGGCCGCCACGAGGAGTTGTAAACCCTAAACCCTAAACCCTCAAACCCTAACCCTACCAAAACTCGAAAAGCCACAAGTTTCTAACTTAAGGGTTTCAAGTAAGGCACTAAGCGCGAGGCCTTGTTGGGTTTAGTGCAGGTTGGGGCAGAGGGTTCACAACCCGAAACCCTGAACCCTAAGCCCTAAACCCGGTTCACAGCAGCTTGGGGGCACCAGGTTTACTGCGCAATCAATATGGGTAGGTCTCGAAGTTTAGGGTCCCTTTTTGGGTCCCCAATATAGTACGGCACCCTTATAAAATGGACCCTAATTTAGAGAACTACGCATATAGGTGTCTGCCCGAAGCCTGCAATACATGGCAGAATAGTCGAATTGCAGCAGCATCTCTGATAGTTTGTTTTAGATTAGGAAGCGCCTTTCGACAAGATGTTTCAAAGCCAGCTTATCGAAGTGTTTAGGGTTTAGGGTTTAGGGTTTTAGGGTTTTGGGGTTTAGGGTTTAGGGTTTAGGGTTTTAGGGTTTTGGGGTTTAGGGTTTAGGATTAGGGTTTGCAAGTACCGAAGAGAAATCAAGAACTTGATCAACAGCTACTACACTGACCTGCAGTTTTACATTAGTACGAACGGGAACGTTTCGGAATGGCTGCTTGAACATACGCGTATGAGACAAGGTGTCTGCTACCACCGTATCTCGTTCGTTTAGTGATAAGAGCGCTACTTCGGATAACAAAGCTGAACTCAACACTCCCAGATGGAATGTCTCGTAGATGGCAATTTGTTTCATTGAAATACATTGGACGAATGCCCCTGTTCTATTATTCGGGGCTAATGCGCATTGCGTCAAAGTTGTCCTATGGCATACGGCAGAGACACTCAGCATCGTACGGAAAGTGCATGAATCTGACTGCGAACCAAAAGCAATCTTGAGTGCGGTTCTTTCCCGCTGCCTCAGGGCAAGCTTGTAATGTAGGAACCGGAGAACAAACCTCCTAGGTAGAAACAAGGGAGACCCTTTAAAGGGACCCTGCTCAACCCTACATTATGGCTCTCTTAACTTATTGAGAGGGTCGATATCCCCAAGGGTCCCCCTAATCCTAACTCCGAAAACCATGGCCCTATAAAACCCCCTCGCCAAAAAATTCTTAGGATCCAAAAAAAAGAATCCGAACAACGACCCAGGCTTTCTAAATCAGGTTCCTATCTTCAGAATCTTAGGATCCCAAACAAGAATCCGAACAACGATCCAGGCTTTCTTAATCAGGTTCCGATCTTCCCAGCCACTTAAACCCTATCAACCCTCTACGCCCCATAAACCCTATAAACCCTATAAACCCTAAACTCCAAAAAGGGTTCCTATGGTTCCCAGAAGGACCTCTGCTAGCTACCTCGGAACCTTGCTGACGAATACCTCCGCGAAAAGAGTTGAGCTTTGAAGCAGAATCGGCGACAGTCTAGAAACATGCAACCATTTCTTGGGTGATAGAAGAAGGGTTTAGGGTCTAGGGTTCAGGGCTTGGGGCTTTTGTTTTGGAACATCTACACGGCTGTCGGACATGTCTCTCTGACGTATTGTCTCTGGACTCGTGCCGTTCAGTTTCACAAATCTGTGGGGAGCTGCTCTCTGCTCGACAAGTTCTTGGGGTCTGAATCGTGGAATCCTGACACCGGTACTAAACACTCCTTTCTTGGTCCCTACTTAGAATGGTACCACAACATGGAGCAAAGATCTTATTACAATAGACTTCGGCCCCATTGTAGGGCTCGGTGTTTTGAGGATATTTGAGAGGGTGTTCCCTAAACCCTAAACCCTAAACCCTAAACCCTAAACCCTTAACCCTTAACCCTTAACCCTAAACCCTAAACCCTAAACCCTAAACCCTAACCAGGTCTACTTCCTCTCTGTCGACCTGGCTCAGCTCACGGCCACGCACCTGACCCTGAGCTTCAACTACCCTGCCAGGCTGGCGCCCCTTTAGGTCTAGGGTTTAGAAGTTTAGGGTTTAGGAGTTTCGGGTTTAGGAGATTAGGGTTTAGGGTTTAGGGATTAGGGTTTAGGGTTAGCGGTTCGAGTTTAGGGTTAGGGATTCATTTAGGGTTGAGGGTTTAGGGTTTAGGGGTTGGAGTGGAGGGGTTTAGAGTCTAGGGGTACTACTACTACTACTACTACTACTACTCCTCCTTCACCCTGTCCGACCCTGGGGCTCATGGGTCTGGAAAGGTCTTGAAGGCCTTCGAGCGATGTACAAAAAACATATGGGTGGTTGTCAAAATTATGGTCCCCTTTTTGGGTCCTTTTTATAGTACGGCACCTATTATTTAGGGTACCCCAAAAGGGTCCATGATTTTGACAACTACCCATATGCGAAGAGGGCCCTCCCGTTGCGGCCCACGAGCGGCAGCAACCGCGTTCACCTTGCTTGCCATGTGCTGTTTAATTCCGCAGCTCCTAACCCCTAAACCTCCCTAAACCCTAAACCCTAAACCCTAAACCCTAAACCCTAAACCCTAAACCCGCGACCCTAAACCCTAAACCCTTCCGATTGTGCAGGCATCGGGAGTTCCAGAGCCCAGTGAGCTGAGCCAAGAGCTCGCCAGCCAAAGCCTAGCCAAAGCATCAGGGTGCAGGGTTAGGGTTTAGGGTTTAGGGTTTAGGGTTTAGGGTTTAGGGTTTAGGGTTTAGGGTTTAGGGTTTAGGGTTTAGGGCAGGGTTCAGGGTTCCTTGAAAGGGCTCTATAGGGGTTTCTGTAAGGTCTCGTCAGGCTTCTACAGGGTTTGGGGGACTTAGTGAGTAGGGTTCGGGCTACTGTCACTGCAACTATGATTACTTGTCTTAGTTCTCCAATACCCAACCTTTAAACTTTTTGGGCTCTTATAATTCCGTAGTAATCCGAAAGTTTAACCTTTTATTTCCCCGGCTTATTGGGGAATGTGAGTTGTAGCCCATGTTGAGGTGTATAACTACGAATAAGCCTTCGAGAATACACGTGCAGCCTCGAAGATTGATGGCTGGCTCTGCCCATGCGAGGTGGGTGCAGGAAACAAACGTTACCTGGGGGTGCCACGCCTTGTTCGATACCGTCACAGCTGCTTGGCTTTGTTGAGGGTTTCAGGGTTTTCGGGTTTAGGGTTCTATAAATGAGTTCAAGGTGCTATGTAAGACATGATGTGCCTGATGTTGATTTTGAGAAGATTTGGCTGCTTGGTGTAAAACTTAAACCCTATACCCTAAACCTTAAACACAAGCCCCCAGAAAGCTCCGAAACTTTCACAACCCTTAGCCTTAACCCCTAACGCCAAAGAACCCGTACAGAACCCTTAGCTATATAGAGCCCTTGTAGAATCCTGTCTAGAGCCCTTGAACCCTTTATAGAACTTTCGTAGAAACCTCATAGAACGCTTATAGAACTGTTAAAGATGCATTTCTAGAACCCTTGGCCTCTGGCTTTGCAGGGCTCTTGGGGTCTAAACCCTGAGCCCTAAACCCTAAGTGGGTTTAGGGCCTCGGGTTTGGGTTTTAGGGTTTCGGGTCCCCAGAGTCTTATCCTTTGAACTTTAAACCCCTAGACTGGCGGGATCTTTAAGGATCCCATAGTAGACTAAACCCTAAGCCCTAAACCCTAAACTCACCCGAAACCCAACCTTAAACCCTAAACCCTAAACCCCAAACTCTAAGCCTAAGCGGAAGCCGCCGGAGGCCGAGAAGCTGGGCCTCTCACCGGGCTGCTCCATGTCTGAGGATTTAAATCGCCTCCAGGCACACATGGGGGCTGTTTAGGGTTTAGGGTTTACGGGTTTAGGGTTTAAGGTTTAAGGTTTAGGGCTTAGGGTTTAGGGTTTAGGGCTTAGGGCTTAGAGTTTAGGGTTTGGGGTTTAGGGTATAGGGATTTTTAGGATTTAGGGCTTAGGGGCTTTTTAGGGATTTTTAGGGTTTAGGGATATTTAGGGTTTAGGGTTTGGGGTTTAGGGTTTAGGACTTAGGGCTCAGAGGCTTAGAGTTTAGGGTTTAGGAGAGAGAGACCCCAAAACACAAAAAGCTGAGTGGTTTATACGGGTTCT